ATATTTTAATAAATATATATTTTTGATTTTAATTAATATTTTCTATAAAATTATTATGTAATTATTAATAAAATAATAATGTCTTTTTTTATTGCAAATATGTATTTATTTTTAAGTTTTATTAATCTATATTTAATTAATTTCTAAATTGAAATAATTTTAATAATTAATAATATAATTTTTTTATAATTAAAAAAAAAATTGATAATTTTAAATTGCTCTTTTTTTTAATTATATCTTCAAATACACACATGTTTTTTTTATTTTAATTATTTAATTATTTATTAAATCATTAATAAAAATATTAGTTTTGATTTTTTTTAATTATTTTTGATCCATATTGTACATTTTATATTTTATATCTTAATTAATTTAATAAAAAAAATCTTATTAAACAAAAAAATAATTTGATCCAATTATTTGTTTAAAAAATAAAATAAATATAAAAATCAAATATATAATAATAATTATAAAAAAATTATTTAAAATTCCAATATATTATAATTAATTAATATTTTAAAAAATAATTTTATTTAAAATAATTTATGAATTATCTTACCATTTTAATTTAACATTTTAAATTTTTTCCAAAATTTTTATTCTACTTTTTCTCTTACATTTAAATTTGTTTAAAACAAAAACACACTTTAAAGAATTATTAAAAAAAATGTATTAATATAAATAAAAATGTATATGTACGTAATAATAATAATGTATTGGCTGGATGACGGGTTAAATAAGTTAATAACAATGCATAAATGGTTATCACTATTCTGAGGATTATCATTATCATGATATGATCATGAGGCATTTTTATGTACAAGGTGTTTTTTGCACTCTGAAATCTAAAGCGCCTTGGTTTATATATTAAAAATATGGTAAAATTAAATGCCGACTGTATACGTATGCTTTGCAAAAAATTTACCGAAGAACCACATGGAGCCAATTTATTATATAGTTGTGCGCTTTTAAATAGAGAAGTTAGTGTTTTCGTTTTTGGATACTTCGTGAATGCAACGAGACGCCATAACACTTTTTCTTTATTTTTCTTATAGTGGAGTGAACAGGCAACAACATTTCTTTATAGAGACCCTTGGCAATATTGGCTGTACGTGAGAAAGAATGAGGACGTTGCTAAACAACTAATAGACACTTATGTGGTATGTTACAAGTATTTTAAGATGGCAAACAGCAATAAAGATAGAACAACAGCACCGCCGACAAAGCAAATTCGTACCGAGGTTAACAATAATCCTGATATCATTGTTCCTTCAAAGGATTTAATTTCAATGGCAAAAATTTTACACTTGCCTGCATTGTATCAATGCATAGAAATTTGGTGCAGAAATAATAATGGTTCCGATGATGAACAAGAAATCAAGAAAGAAATCGAAAGCTTGTTTTTAGATCTCTTTAAAATGTTTGTTGATAGAGCACGGATCAAAGAGTGCACGTTTGCAGATTCGATCAAAGATGTTTCCTACCCGATAAACTTGCATCAGTTGAAAGATCTAGAAACAACTTTTCGTAAGCTGACAGTTGGATTGCGTTATCTGAATTTAGGTTTTTTTGAATGTAATGATAGATTATTATCCATCCTTACCGAAAGTTGTACAGCACTCAAAACTTTTAAAGTCAAAGCTGATAATTGCTCAGATGGCGCATTAGCAAAATTCGTGAGGGCACAAAGATCATTGACAAAACTTAAAATTCGCTACGCCAAGGATCTTCGAAAAACCTTGGATGCAATAGGATCACAAGCTAGTACTATGGTGAAGCTTCGTATCCTCAATTGCAATTTGAAAAGTTGCACTGAACCTTTTGTTGGAATTGCCGCATGCACTAATCTTCGATCACTTTACATGCGGAATATCGAAAAATTTGCAACAAACTTAAGTCTATCACAGTTGCTAATGCCAATTGCAAAAAATTGTAAATTTCATAATGTGGATTTTTGGAACACTTTACTTCCCGCCGATGTGCTTGTCGAAATCGCAAGAAATTCTTCCACAACTTTACGTCGTGTACATCTTATGCGGTATCGAAATGGAGAATATGGAGAATATAAAGAAGATCTTTCGCCTGGAATTGAAGCACTTGCGAAGTATGCGACAAAACTTTGCCATTTTGAGCGAAACATTCTTCCACAAGAATTGGATGCCATGTGTCATCTCGTAAGCTCCATAGGTTATTCTTTAGAAACGTTGGAAGTAGATTCTCAGGACATGGCTGGAATTGATTCATCGAATTTCCTTATTTGCATTGGTCGAAATTGTCCAAATATAGTTCTATTAAATATAAGTAGTTATGAGTTTACGACCGACGCATTCACAGTGTTACTACAAGGTTGCAAATCATTGCAGAATTTGATGATAACTGATTCAGATTCTGTTGATGTTTTGGCCTTGATTAAGGAAAACTGCGTAGGGACCTTGCGATCGTTAGTTATTTCTGAATGTCGCAATGTGACAAATGAATCGATCACAAGGTTTCAACAAGAAAGTGGTATTGAAGTCGAAACCGATATTGAGGGTGATGCCGATATTGATATCGAGAACGAATAACTTTTAACTTCCGTTTGAAGAAAATTTTTTGTTGATATCTGTATTTTATCCAATTTAATTTTGTGTTGTTTTACTTGGAAAATGTATATTTTTATTCGATATTTTCATAGGGTGCACCAAGAATTTCCTTTTGACTTTTTTCTGGTGATTTTTTATATTGGATTCATTCTATCGTGTCAAACAACTTGTTTTATGATTTATAACATTATTGTTTTTAATTTTTAATTTTCCTTACATTTATTTAACATATCAATTAAAATGAATTATTTAGAAAAATCATGGCTTAATTTTTTAAACAATTAGTTTAAATAATAATAATGAATTAATTATAATAAATTATTGAACAAGTTATTTAATAATAATAACGTTATACAATAACTACTAAAAATTATAAAATAAAGACTTTTGATAATTTAAAATATTAAAAAAATGTTTAAATTTAACAATTATATTAAATACTGTATATATAGTGTATATAGCAAAATTATTTTATTTTTTTATTACATCATGGGTAAGTCATTTGTTTTATTTTAAAAGTTTCAAAAATAAATATATTTGATTTAAATATTTTCAATTATATTTAATAATTAACTTAAGAATAAATTAATAAATTAATAATAAATATAAGTTTATAAATTTATATTATTATTTTTTTATATTTTTGATTAATTATATATTAATGTATTATTAATCTTAATAAAATAGTACAATTAAAACTAAACTATATAAATTGTTATAATACTTGTTTATAAGTTTAAAATTTTTTAGTTATAATTATAAATATATATATATATTTTAATTTAAATAATAATTAATTTAAAAATTTATAATTTTTTTAATAAATAAATATTGATCTATATAATATAATATATATATTGTAAAAAATATATTTTTCATAATATTTTTTTTTGTTTATATTAAATTTTTTTTTGTAAAAATTAAAAAGTTTTTATATTTTAATAAAACCATATTCAAAAAATATTAATATTTTTAATAAAAAAAGTATATAAATTTTAATAAAATTAATTTTTAATAACTTTTTTTTATTTCATATACATTTGACAAAAAACTATTTTAAAAATAAATAAAAATTTCAACTTCAAAAAAAAATATTTAAAAAATTTAAAAGATCATTCTCTTTCAAAACCAAAATATTATTATTTTAATAATAAAAATTGTTTCTTTAGTTTTTTTGCAAATAGTTACTTAGAATCTTAAAAAAACATCACAACTAAATTTTTGAAATATGGTGTTTCAAATTTGTTATACTGTTTAAAACTATATAAATGTTTTAAGAATTCTTAAAAAATATATATATTATATAGAAAATATAACCAAAAATAATAAATATTAATAAATATTAATAATGCTATATATAAAAATATTTATTTAAAACTAATAAAACTTTTAAAAATTTTAGTAACAATAGAAATATTTCTATAATATTGTTAAGAAAAAAAGTTGAACTAATATTATTATTATTATTTTTTTTTTTTTAATCCCGCAATCAGGTTGGTGTCGTTTATTTATTTAATCATAAAGAACCATTAC